GATGACAATATTCAAGGTGATTAATGAAAAAGGTGAAATAAACATATTTTGACAAGAAATAAAAACATGTGACAGAAACAATAACTTTTATTCTAACAAGGAAACTATTGCAATTTTGATTAAGTTATAGATATATTCTCGGGAAAAATTAAATAAAAAAATTTCAGATGGAAATTTCATCATTGAACTTTTTCGGATATATCTCAAACTGTGTTAAAAATTCAGTAAAACAATCATAACTTGTTTTCGAATGCCTATGGAGACGAATTTGTTTAGTATTATCGAAACCTCTGTTTGCAGTCAATATTAGCTTAAACGGAGGATTAAAATTCAAGATAATTCTCTCGTAAGCTTTTTATTACTTAAAGAAATTTCATCATTCAAACATTTCAATAATTGTCTTTTCAAATCATGGAACTAGATTTATTAAAAAACAAAAAATCAAATACTATTCTTCACATCTCTATTTGATATGTGATATATAGATTTCTTTGATAAAGAATAAAGTTAAATGTTTACAATAAGAAATATGTCACAATGTCCTGACAAAAGAATTAAGATACGACAAGTGTCACAGATGCATACAATAAGTCATGATGTCTATGTAAATATATATTTACAGCTGTCATCTTTTACAATAGGATTAATTATAATGGGTCATAGCCTTATGATATAATAAATATCTTTTAATTTCAATTTGAATATGAAATCAAATAATAATTCATTATTTCTATATTTTAATTATAGTCAACAAAACGAGAATCGAATTTGCAAACACATGAATTTAATGATGATTCATCTAACCATCGAAAATATATTCGAACACAATGTATTTTTGTTTTGTTTTATTAAAAATAAAAAAACAAAATGTTTGTTAATTTAGCTTCTTCAAATAATCGAACTGTACCATCGTCATCATTTTCTCAGCAGCAACGTCAAAATAATGACAAAGATAAGAAAACAGTTAAAGATGTATGTGTATATTTTTGATTTTGTGTATCATAATGTCGAAAGCTTTTTTTTGTTTTTTTTTGTTTTCAAGGCAAAAAAGCCGTTACGTGTATATGGTGATTGGTCAGAATTTAAAAGTTCAACAGGTAAAACATATTTTTACAATTGTAAAACAGAAATTTCTCAATGGGAAAAACCAAAAGGATGGCCAACAGATGAGTAAGATAAGTTTTGAAAATTATTTGTTTTTTTTGTTCATGAATTAAAAAACATTGTTTTTTTATTTAGAACAATATCTTCATCTATTCGAACAAGTTCAACATATTCTTCTATTGATCGAACTAAAAAAGGTTTTTATTTTATTTTCTACATTATTATTATTATTATTATTTCTTAAAATAGAATCAACAAATTCAAATAGTTCACCTACAATTCGTTCTCGATATAAGATGGAAGAATCAACAGAAAATTCTCGTTATCAACAAAAAGATATTCCTATTCTTAATTCAACTATTAAATATGAACAAAATGGTGATATACATTCTCATATATCAAATAATCAAATACAAGAATTATTACCATCAAATGAATCATTTAATACAATTTCTAATATTCGTTTACCTAGTCCAAGTAAAAATTTTTTTTTCGAAAATAACATAAAAAACTTTTCATTTTTTATATTAGATGATGATGATAATAATTCTCGAATGTCATTTTCATCGACGAGTAGTAAACAATCAACAACTATAAATATTTCTGATAATGGCAATGTTTTACATCCATCATCATCATCATCAATTGAACAAGGTAGAAAGAAATAAATTAAAGAATTAATGAAAAGAATAATTTATTCTTGTGTGAATGCTTCAAAATTTAGGCATGTAGAAAATATGACATATATCGAAAAGTTTTGCCTATAAATTATTATGAAACAATTATAAAGATAGTATATATTCTTATTAAATTTTCTCCTTGAAGCTAAAATGTCATAACTTTTTTTTTTTAATTATAAACTATTCATTCTGATATGTTATAAATTGAATTGAATTCATAAAAAAACATTCATAAAATTATTCTAAAAACAAATTAATATATATTTTGATTCTTTTTTTCTTTTTAAAGCTATTTCAGTATCCACTCCAGTGTCTGATATGCCAAATAAACCTCGGGAAAAAGATTCAATTGCTTTAAATGGTAAAAATAATTATCTATTAATATATTCAATAAAATATATTCTATATTTAGGATTAGAAACAAAATCTTCATCTACTCGAACAATTATTCCTTCTATAACAACAACAGAACAAACGTAAATGATTTATTCATTTATAATAATAATAAATAAAATAAACTTTTTTTTTTTTTTTTTTCAGTACAGAGATCGAATCTTCTACTCCATCTATTACAAAAATTGAACGTGATCAAGAAATTCAAAAATATTATCGTGGTAGTTTAATTCAACATTTAACTGATTGGCCATCAACTCAATTAGAAAAACAGGTATGAAAAAAAAAAAAAAACAAAATTATTTCTTTATTTTATTTGGTTATTTAATTTCTTCTTTTAGTGTTTAAAACTTTTTGATGATTATTATGGTTATAGTGCTAAAATGTCAACAGGATTTATTGAACTTAAAGCATTAAAATCGAACTTTCGCGTACTTGAAATTAAACAAAATATTTTAAGACAGAGGTATATATATATATATAATTAATCGATTTTGTAAAATACAATCTAACAAAAGTATTAGAAATATTGAATTTTCTTCCTAATTAATTTAACATAATCTAATTTATATTTATTACAATAATGTAACGTTTTATTGTAGTTCATAACTTGTTTAAACATAATTCTTACAAAATAAATTGTAGATTCTCAAACGAAGAACATATATATGTAAAGGTACAAAAACATAGACCGATCGATTTGTTTATTTCATATAATAGTGATACGAAACAAGGCGAACAGAATAATCCTGTGTTTTTATTTCCTCATAAAGATGTGTAGATACATAAATGTGTTCTTCGTGTCACAATGTACAGTTGTCTTTTGTAAAAATTATGTCTGAAGAAGTTGTAAACAACACCAAAACACCATATGATTGTACTAGATTAATTCGGAAGAGATCTCAAAATATCTATAAATCTCTTTATGATTAGTAATAGCAGTAGCTACACATTCTATTTAACATTTGAAGTCTACAGAGATTTATATTAAGCAGCTTATTCTAAATAGATTAATTTTCTATTTAAGACTTCTCCGGTGTCAACAACATGTTAAAAAACGAGAAGATGATAAACTGTTATAATTTTGTTTTTTTTTTCTTTTTTTTTAAATGTTTTTCTCAAGCAGCAATGTTGTATTTGCGCATGCACAATAGATGTTAAATTATTTCATTCTTAAAACGCGAATCTGTTCGATATTGTCTATTATTGTTTTTTTTCTTCTTTGTGTATGTGTGTGTGTCAGATAAAATATCTTAACATCAGTAGTTTTCTGGCCGATTAAAATGATGCTGCGTAGTGATGATCGAATTTTTCTTTCTTTTTTTTCTCTTTTTTGTTCTTTCCAGAAAAAAAAAAAACTAAATAAACTTTGACTCTTATGTATCGATGTGTTCTTCTTTATATTGTATACCTTTGGTTCATTTTTTTTTTTTTTTGTTGTTTATTCTTTTTTTGAAAAAGTTACATATTATATATATGGAAAATATTATAATTGTGCATATTGAAATGTTTTGATAGAATATGAAAACAAACAACGAATATTTCATAGAAACTTTTTTATTTCTTCTAGAAAATTAATTAAATGAAAGAAGAGAAAAAAAAAAAAAGATGTAAGATAGTTAATTATTATTTACTAAAAATTCATTATAAAATAATAGATTTATTTATATTAATGAGAATATTTTGAATAGTATTAGAAAAATTATAAAATGTAAGTGAATATCAATAGATAAATTTTATTTAGATTTTTTGTATTTATTTTCTTATTTTGATGAAGAATTTCTCTTTGATAAAATAATTCGAACATTTGTGTATTAAAAACTACAATGTTATTGATGAGCTAGACATTTTAATTTATAATAATAAAGCAAATGCAGAACATATAAAGAATACAAATTTAGTTACATTGAAGTGTATTCTATTTTTAAATTGTATAAGATTTATATAATATGATTAATAATAATAATAGAGATCAAGATCTGAATTATTCATGTTGAATACTTGTTTTTTATTGTTACTATAAAAAGATATCAGTATGTGTTCGAAAAGAAAAAGAAGAATACTAATGAGATATTTAGATTTTAGATGACAAACTCATGATAATTAGATATCAGACTAAAAAGTAATGATGAAGATTAGAATAAGATTTAGTTTAATTTAAAAACAAAAAAAGTCTTATTTTACTAATCCATAGAATATTTTCTATGTCAAACAAAATGCCTAGAAGTTTTGAATAATTAAAAATAGTAAAATTCCATGAATAAGTACATAAGTATTTATTTTAAAATAATCTCTCTTGTTTCATATATAATTAAGTATAGAATTTTATTATTTCATTTCATAGAAAATGATTCAAAATATATTTTCAAATAATTTTACATTTAATTATCATAGAAGAAATGAGTGTTTGTCAAAAAACAAAATTTTCTGTTTTTTTAAAGTATAATTTTTACTGTTTAGAAGTAAAACATTGAGAACAAAAATAAATAAATAAATAATTTTTCATATGATTTTTAAGATTACTCAGCGGATAAATCAAAGAAAGAAAATGTGTTCGGTTGGTTTTTTTTTGTATTATATGCTAGTCAATTACTACTTCTACATATTAAATAAATAACAGAAAAGAAATAGTTTGTTTTATCAAGTCATAACTTGAATGTCTGATTTTTTTTCCTTAAATAATTACCTTTGAATATTCTATATAAAATATGATCGTTGAGTACTAAAAATTTATGCATAGAAGAAAATGTTATATGTTAATATTTTATAACTATTCTTTGTAATTATTTATAAAACATATATTCTTAATATTTATTTAAGATAATGTCAAATGATAATGATCGTCTTCGTGAATTTATATCATCACCAATTGATTTAGAAAAATTTTTAGATGATACAACAAATCTAAAAAGACGTATATCAACATTTACATCTTCATATCCAATTGATGAAAATAATCTTGATCCATTAATTAATTTAGCTAAATCTTTAAGTGATTATCATCATCATGAACAACAAGATGATTCAACACGAATAGAAAATGAAATTGAACAAGAAGAAGATGAAGAACAATATGGTCATGATGAAGATGATGATGAAGATACAACATCAAGTACTTGGCGTACAAGACGAAAAAAGAAAAAACTTGATCCAATTATTTTAAATAATCTTAAATCATATCCAGCTTGTATTGAATATTTATATAAAGAATTTAGTCAATCACGTCCACATGCATCACATGATACAGCATTTTTAAAAAATATTCGTGAATCAAATCAAGCACAATCAAATATAAATGATGATAGACTTATATTAAATTTACAAATATTTTTTCCTATTGAATCACGTGATCGTTATCGTCATCAATTAATGAATGAACTTATTTGTTTATCAACATTAACATTAACACAAATACGTGATTCTATTGAATGTGTTAGTGATGAACAAATTCTTGGTGAATATTCCGATAATCCCGATAGTATACAAACAAATGGACAACGTGCTGGTGATGTAAATACGGCAGCTTGTTTTATAATTGAATCAATTATATATGATGATTTACGTCGAACAAATATACGTTTAAGTGAAAAAATTATTGAACAAACAAATACAAATTATATACAAGGTAATACAATGGAAATGACAAATTTAAATGATCTTAAAATGATTCAACTTGGAAAACCATATATTTATTTACATCAAACAAATTGTGAACATGTTATTGTATTTAGTGAATTAAAATTACTTGAACAAGATCAATGTCATGATTCAAAGTAAAAAATTTTAAATATAAAATATCCCAAAATTATAGAATCCCCCCTCCCCTTTCCCATACATTTATATAATAATATTTATTTCATTAGAAAAAAATTATATTATTAAACTATTAATAACTTATTTATATAAGCATGATTGTCTACTAACTATTGCTATTGCCGATTGTCTTTGTCTGTTTCTCTATAAATAAAATAAATATTATTGTATGATTGTATGGAGGGAGGGGTCCTATAATTTTCGGATATCCGATATTTTTATTAGAATATTTATTTATTTATATTTTTAGTCTCTATCCATTATGTCGAATGAAATATCATGGAAGATTTTCATATTGTTTTCTATGTAATGTTTTTTATGCTAAATGGCTTATTCGAGATTCACCTTTAATACCTGATGATCCGTGTTTATTATGTGAAAGATGTTTTAAAGCATGTCATTATGATAAAGATGGACATAAAGTTGGCAATTTTCTTGCATATCATTTTCCACAATTGTAATTAAAGAAGAAGAAAAAAAAAAAAAAACACTATTTCTTATATGTATGCGCAGGACAAAATATCATTTTTGTCGTTCTTTAATTGATCAATAAAAGTAATACGTGTTGACTTTTTTTTTTCCTTGTCGACCTTTGCTTTCATAGAACGAAAAAGTTGAAACTTCATATCTATATTTCTTAGTAAGAACAAGTTTTTTTATCTTACACGATCGAGCCACTCCTTTTTCAGGGTCATGTCCTTTCAAGATGCGCTCGACAACATAAATGATCTACACGTCGTTTTTTTTTTTTTTCTTCTTCTTCTTCTATTTTATTATTATTATTATTATTATTATTTTGCTTCTACTCGTTTTCTTTTTTCTATTCGTTTGCTATCGTTTTTGTCGACGCATGACGTAGATTACACGCCCAAGCAATTTTCTTCGTTCTGTAGTTTGCTGCTATTACCACTGCTCCTAAAGAACGTCGCCGCGTTCGTTCTTTTTGCTTTTTTTTCATCGATAACAACATCAACGCATAAAAAAAAAAGTTGCTCTTCTATCACAATATATGATGTTGCTTTTTTTTTTCGACTCTATCACCATCTACTGAAAGATCTTGTTTGTTTTAGAATACGACATAATAACGAACACTGTACTAAAACAAAACAAAAAAGAAGATTTTACACTCAGGTGAGTGCTTATATACAGTTGTTCTTATTGTAATTAATCATCAATATGAACGAACAAGAGAACATTTCACAAAAACGTTATTACAAAAGTGAATTTGATGGTTGACTGCTTTCACGTGTACAACATATATATTATGGTTTACCTCATAAATAAATACATAGGATCGTTTGTGAAAACCCACAAATCCGTGTGTATTCCCCTTACCTTTATTACTGGATATAAAATTTTTTTATGTATGTATATATCTATGATCAATTTTCTTTTTTTTTTTTTTTTATTTATATTAGATTTTATATTTTGGTAATTAATGAATATTTATTGAAAAAAGAAAAATATTTATTATATATTAAAAAAGTCATGATGAACAGATCAAAAAGTGAAAGTAAATTAATTAATTAAAACTAGAGAAAATTATACAATTAATTAATTTTATTTTTCTTTATTTTTAAGTAATCAACGACAGTCATAATACCAAAACAGAAGCTTTTGATTCTCAATCAATGACTGATGATGAAAATTATGCACAAAAACGAAAATCTCGTCGTATTCAAACTCTTATGAAACTTTCTGTTCAAGAACCTATTAATGATAAAAAACCAGAACAAATTAATAACATAAGAAATATAAGACAAAATTCAACGACTTCATTATTTGATAAAAGACCTTTTCCATTTGGACGCTGGTATGTAATATTCATTCTTTATTTTATATTTTTCGTTTTCTTTTTTCGATATTCTCATACATTTCTTTTTTTTTTTTATGATATAGTCGGGTTTGTATGGATAAAGCAACAGGTGCACATTATGGAGTACCGACATGCGAAGGATGCAAAGTAAATCTTATATGAAATGTTATTTTTGTTTCTAAACTAGACAATCATAGAATATAACAGAGGTCGATTAACATTTCTCTTTTTGACTATTATTGAGTATATATATATATTTTTTTTTCTGTCTGCAAAGGGTCATTATGACCTACATGAGTACTCTGGAAAAGATAATTGTAAGAAATTATTGAGATATTGTAAAGCAAAAAACGAAAGAGTTCTGTAAGGTTTAATTATTATTTATTACAATTCATTTTATTTGATACGCAATTATCTTTTGTTTTTTTGTTTTTAAAATATCGTTTTTGTTTTTAAGAGTCTTCTTAAGTGATCATTTCAAGAGAAATTTTTTAATGACTAAAAATAATATTAAGAGAAAAACAAAAGAAATAAAAATATTTATTTTAGGGCTTTTTCAAACGAAGTATTTTACGAAAAGAAAAATATCGATGTTATTTTGGTGATGGATGTATAATTACTGCTGATAATCGTAATCGTTGTAAATCATGTCGTTTTCAAAAATGTCTAACAGAAGGAATGTCTATTGACGGTAAATAAATTAAAATAATTAAAATATTTTTAATAATTATTCAATTATATTTAGGTGTTCGTATGGGTCGTATTCCAAAATTGGTTAAAGAAAAAGCTCTAGCTGAACATCATTTATCTTCGTCAAGTATAGAAAATGATGATCCAAGTCCATCAATATCATCTACATCACCATCATGTATATCATCAATAAATTCAAAATCAAATAATTTAATGTCAACAGATATGAATCTTGAATTAATTGATGAACCATTTCTATTAAATAATTTTGAATCAGTATCTATTAATACTCCTTCAACAACATTACCATTATATAATAATTATATGTTACCAGAAAATTTTACTATAGATGAAACAAAATATAATTATTTAGAAAATCTATCAATATTAAATCGTTCAGTTCTAACAAATTGTACAGTAAATTGTGAAGAACATTTTTCAAATAATATTCTTGAACGTATTAAAAAATTTGTAACAAAATTAACTTGTCCAATGACATATACAGTATCTGATTATGATGAAGCATCATTTATTCGATATCTAAGAACAAAAATGCTTGATTTATATAATACATATGATAGTTGTACAACACAATTAGTGGAAAGAATGGATAGTATGATTAATCATCAAGTAAATAAAATAATAATTTTTTTTTTCTTCTAATAAAAATTTTCTATGGTTTTCTTTTTTTCTTAGATTACTGAATTTCATGATAATCATTCGTCTTTACACGATATATGGGCAGGATTGACAGGTAATTTTTAATTTTTGTAAAATATATTTAAATTTTTATTTTCAAATAATTATATATATATATATTTATAGATGCTATTCCATTTCATGTGAAAAATCTCATTTCATTTTCTCGCGAGGTAATTTTCCGAAGTTTTTTTTTTTTTTTTAAATTTTTATACTAAAATTTGGATTCATATTATATGTAAAATATCGAGAATGTGATATTGTAAAGAAAAATTTCTGAGCTGGTTATCGATAGCAATAACAAGAAATATATTTTTATGTTAAAAATGACTAAAAGTATAACAAAAAAAAAAAACAACTTTTCGAATGTACAATCATAATACTTTTCTTTTGTAAGAAGAGACGTCTGACAATAAAACTAATAATAATTATTGTCAATCGATTATGTACGAAAGAACAGATAACAAACAGAGGTTTTTAAATTATATATAACATAAATAAAACATAATATCAACGTCATTGAAACATGTTTTTTATCATAAAAATCATTGACATATAGCTTTTCTTTTATTTATTTAGATGCCAGCTATTAATGAAATCGATTTCGATGATTTTCATAAGATAATGAATAATCGTTTATTTGATTTTTGGCTAGTAAGTTTTTTTTGTTTTTCTTTAATAAAAAAGAAAACAAACTAATAATAAAATTTAGATTAAACATGCACCATTAATACGTAATAATGAATCATATATAATATTACCAAATGGTCTTCAATATACTCGTCAATGGATGAATAGAATAATAGGTGAAGAAATTGTTGAAGCAATGTTTGAACTTGCAAGAAAATATAATGAATTAAATTTAACACAAGAAGAATATGCATTAATATTTCCTGTTATTATTTGTGCTGAAGGTAAAATATTATTGAAACTAGAAAAAAAATAAATAAAATAATGTTTTTTTTTTTGTTTTCAGATACAACTCTCAATGATCAAGAAACTGTACATCAAATACGATGTTGTTATTTATATGCATTATATACACAAATGTTAACAACACGTACACAATTTGAAGCTAAAACAGTATTTCATAATCTTTTACAGGTTTGATTTTTTTGAAATACAGGAAAAGAAAAAAAACATATATTTTTCCTTAATTTAAATAGATTTTATCCTTTTTACCATTTTTAAATCAATTACAAGAGAAAAAAACTGTTTCAATTATTCCAGAAAGTAAGTAAATGAAAATATTTATTGGGATTAAACAAAATAATAATACATATGCAGGTCTTTGTTTTTATGTTTATATTACAACTAGTTAAAACTTCTCAAAATTTGAGTATTCATCTAATTCAAATCGAACAAAAAAAAAACCCTGCTCAGTATTATGTACGTTATACCGAACAGTAGTTTAATACTTTATCGGCCGTCTATCTTCTGATCGCCCTTCTACTGCAACTATATTAATAGTTGTTCTCCGACTGGCAATCTACTGCTGATATACTGTCGGTACTTAGAGATACCGTATAGTATTAAGCAGAATTAACTAGGTTTTTGTTTTTCAGTTCTGATTTCATATTTAGTAATTACATGTACTAGTAACAAAAAAAAACAAATGATATCTTTTTTTAGTCATGTTAATGAGTTCGAGATATTTTGCATGACCTTTAATGTCCTCTCTTGTAGAGATTCATTTTTCTTTTTTGTTTTCTTTTAATTCACTAATACTTCATCTATTCTGTACATTTATATATTTTGACAATTCTATTTTATTTATGAGAAAAAGAAAAAAATTAATTTTTACTATGAAAATTATAACAACAAATATTGATGAAGTTATCATTACTTGATAATCTTTGCATAAAATTTAAGAACATATGAATTCATGAGAATATGACATTTGTTAAAAGTTTTATATGACTATAAAAAATATTACTCTCATTGAAAAAAGTATGAGATCGGGATTATCTTGCTCTTATGTGGTATACTGACACACAATAGACAATTTTATTCAGCATATGGATATGATTTATTTTCTGTCAAAAACAAAAAAAAAAAAATACGAATATTTTTCATAGAAAATATTAGCTTTTTGTAATTATTCAAAAATAAGATTGATGAAAACACAAAAAAGACCATTTAGGATGGGAAATCCCTGAGGAGGATACTTATTCTAAACTTCTGTAGAATAAAACTTATTATTTTAAAAATTATCAAATGATACATTATTCAATGCAATTTTTTCATGCTAATTTCAAATATATCTTTATTTTTCTTCTCTAAAGATGCTAATATAAATTACTATTCAAATCTTTAAAAAAGGCTTATTTTCATTTTTTTCGTAGTATTAAATCAATAATAATTTCTTTCTTTTTTTTTTGTTTTAGATGTGGAATCCGAATCATAATGTATTCATATAAACGATTATTTTTGTTCTTATTTATTTCGAGCTCTTTCATATGGCTCAATACTGTAGACTAACTGATTTTTTTTTAAATGTCTATGTGTGTGTGTGTGTGTGTGTGTGAATATGTATTTGTGAAAAACATAATTTAAGAAAAAAGAATTATGTTAAGCTTATGATGACAAAAAAACAAAAAGACTTAAAAAGCAATTAAATTATTTGTCATGTGCAATGAATATTAAAAATTTGCAATGTTAATAATGAAAAAAAAGAAATTTAGCTTCGAAAGTTCTTTAATAAATAAAATATAAAATATTTTTTGTGAATATATCAAATAATTAATATGAACTTAGCTCAACAACTATGGATTGTTTCCGATTGAAAAACTCAAGAAAATGGTAGAAACTTGAAAACAGAGTTATGATGACCGACTATGTCTAGTTAAGACCAGAATTAGACAAATTCGGCTAGCAGATTTCTGCTTTCTAATTCCTATCATTTTCTTCACTTTTCCGGTCGGAAACGGTATCTTTTTTCGGCAGGTTCATGTCGGAAATTTATGCATCCGGACGCTGAAATCATTGATCTGGGATGTTTTTGTAATTTTAGAAAAAAAAAAATCATGTGAATATTTTATTTTCGCTAGAATTCACTTAGTTGAACTGAAGTTTTAGTCAACCATATAAAATGATATTTATAATCTACGCATAGAAAAGTTCATCTTGATCTAATATGAAATTTTTATTTTATATGATAAAGAAGAAAATATATGAGTAATTTTATTTGTTAACAATGTGATTTTATAAAATAAAAATGCTTTATATGTCTAAACTTTAAAATTTTTGTTTAGTTAGTTTTTATATGTAATTAATGTATGTAGATTTACTCTAAATATTCTAAAAATTTCGGTTTTATTAAACTTGATTCTGCCGAATTGTTATCGAAGAATGAAGCATTAGTGACCTAATACAAAAGGGGTCATTGCGTGCGTTTTCATTTACAAACCTCCTTGAAAGTTCAAAGGGTATTTTTAAAAATTAAATAATGGGTTTCGTAGATGACTTTTCAAGTTGCAAAATTCTCTCGGAAAATGCTTAGATTTTCAAAAACTTGAGTTTATTCATTGTTAGTCACATGTGTGTAAATACGAATATTGAGTAGACTGATGATAGTTCCAATCTTGAGAACTGTTCTAAAAGTTCTTTTGATAGGAACTGATCTGTTTCAACAATTCATTTAGCAAGAATTGTTATAGATACTCCTGCAATAGTTACAATCAATAATTTGAGTATATCAGGTTGTTCAGAAAGTTCGTGCAACTCATATACTATGAAACCGCATGATAACAAGTGCTACATTGAGTTATCGTGTGGCTTCATAGTATATGAGTTGTACGAACTTTCCGGACAATGTGAATATCATCTATATAAAATCACATCCTTAATAAAATAATTACATATTCTAAAAACCCTCGGAGTATCCTATCATCCTGTATATTTATGTTTTAGTTTGCATTCATGCAATGAAAACCGGTGGTGTTATCGATCCGGTTACCGACTCCTGTACAGCGAGAAACCGATTATTTTCACCGGTTATCCGCGTTAACTTGCGGTTTTTTCCGATTAACCGCAGTAAACGGTGGTTTACTACCAAAAATGATTCGATTTTTGTGATACAGACATTTATGTACTAGAGAATAAATCCAGCGCAATGAAGACTTCCTCATCAGTAGGTTTCCGCAGACCGAATTGTTTTTACTGTCATCACAATTAGTTTTTTAAACTTTTTTTTATCACTATAGAAATACCTTTTTGAAAAAAAAGTTATATAGGGTGTTTAGAAAATCATTGTAGATAGAAAAATGTGAATATCTTCATGATTCTTCAACTAAATGAGCTGATTTTTTTTCTGGGAGTAAATAGGAATGCAACAAATCCTATTTTTCTACATAAAGATCGTAAATTTTCGATAGAAAAATCCACTAAATTCAACCAAATCTTTGTATCAATAAAACTGGTTATAATTGACACAAAGATTTGGTTGGATTTGATGAGTCTTCATACTGAAAATTTACAATCTTTATGTGGAAAAAAAGGATTTGTTGCATTCCTATCTACCCCCAGAAAAAAAATCAGCTCATTTGGTTGAAGAATCATGAAGATATTTAAATTTTTCTATCTCTAGTAACTTTTCGGACATCCTATATGACATGATAGCACTTGAAATTCTCTATATTGCTATATATTTGTCTACTGTCTTGTATTTATCTGTTGCAAAAATAATTTGAATACAAGGAAAACATTTTCAATTGATAAGTACAAAAAATCTATGTTTTTGGTTACTGTTTTAGTTGAATGGATGGAAAAAGACAGAAAGGAAAAATGTCGAAAGGGAAAAATATCGAAAATAAAAATGTCGAAAACAAGAATATGAGGTGAAGATGAACATGTAAGATTGAAGGTGAGAGTGAGGAAATTTGTACTTCAATATACTCTCGTTTTCAGCATTTCTACCCATCTACATTTCTATTATTTTTGTTTTCGATATTTTTATTTTCGATATTTTTCCTTTTCGACATTTTTCCTTTCTACCTTTTTCCATCATACCTTTTAGTTCTCTTTATCCAATTATAGGTACTATGAGAATAAGTTTTTACAAAAATAATTATACCTTTTGATAGAGCTTCAAATTCTCTATCATACTATAATATCTTTATCTTGTCTTGCATTTATATACTAAAAAATAATTCGGGTAATATGTAAATACTCTTCTTGTGATAAGCCCAAAAAAAACAGGATTTTCTCCTATCACTGTTCTTTTCATTTCAAGTTTATTATAAATATAGATATAACTTTTTGAACATGTAATTATATGTTTTGACAATGTTTTACATTCTCGATTATTCTGAAGTTTTGAAACAAAAGACGAAAGATATACGTAGGATATATCAATTTTTTATAGAATGCTTGAAAAAAATTTCTTTTTTTATGTAGTGATAGAGAAAACGATGCTCTATTTTTCTATGCTATTTGATCAATCTTCAACTAATATCATAATAATAAAATTTCGATAAGAACTGTTTTTTTTTTTTTTTTGTGTAAAACTTAACTAACGGATGAGACAGATTAAATGTTTCAATCACTTAATACATTGTATTAAAAAACAAAATATGCCACAAGATGCAACATGAAAAGCTGTACAATTTACATACGACCGCTTTTTTTAATAGTTGCATTTTTTGCTTTCAAAATGATCAATTTTCGATCGTATGAAAACGATATTTTTTGGTAGAAGATGAATTCATTTTTTCTTATTTCATCTTTTTGTCATCTGATATCTTTTATTTAAAAAAAAACAAAATACATCACAAGATGCAGCGTGAGAAGCTGTATAATCTATAAAGTAATACTTATTTTAATTGTGTATTTCTCGTCAAAGAAACCAAAATTCTGTGTGACCAATTTTCACCGCCCTGAAAAAATCATGCGAAGAGAAATTCTGTTTTTTTTTTTGTATTTCATATATAAAATAAATTGTTCTTTATAAGTTGTAGAGCTTTTCACACTGCATCTTATGGTATATTTTATTTTTTAATACAACGTATTGAGTGATTGAAAATTGGAATACAAAGCATATTAATCTGTCTCATCCGTTAATTAAATTTTACGCAAAAACAGTTCTTATCGAAATTTTATTATTATGATATTAGTCGAAGATTGATCAGATAGCATCGTTTTCTTTATCACTACATAAAAAAAAAAATTTCTTCAAGCATTCTATAAGAAATTGATATAGCTTTGTAAAGACTTTTGGTATATCCTAAGTAGAATAAAACAATCTTCCTGTAATTAGCAACAGCAGCTACATCCCTAAAGAATGTAGTGAGTTAAGGGTACCCGAAAAAAGTACCCTGTTATCAGTATGTCACAGGAACTTTTGGGTACCAAAGTATTTATAGGTACTTTCAAGTACCTAAGTGGTACTTTGGCAGGTACCCTCCTACAAAATGTATAGTAACTGGGTACTTGAAGATATTGATCAGATACTCAATTGGGTACTATTGTACAGTATTTCTAGGTATCCTGCAACAAAAATTTCAGTATGTTCAGGATCGAACCTGACCTTTCACTTTTTGCATTTTTTTTCTCAAAGCGATTTATTACTTTGTTTTTGATTTTATTATATTTAATTTTTTCAATTCCGAAAATTCAACAGGTCAAATGCCGAGATCTGATCAAACTTGAGTTGGTCGAGTATCCATGAGACCACCTCATGATAGTCCGCTCTTAATCTACGATCAAGATCGGCAAATTCTCGACTAAGGAATAGTGAAGAAATAACCTAAAAAAACTTAGTATGAAAAGAGATTCATTTCTTCTATTTTGCTCTATTGTTTACACGGAGCTGTGCGCGAAAAAGAAAACGGTGAATGAACAGTCGCTACGCAGAACGCAACAAATGTAGGGTACCCTGTAGAGTTTTGCTCAGTAAAATTACAGATATGGGTATCCATATCAGTACTTGCTCAGTGAGCGTATGTTTATGGGTACCTCTTGCAGTACCTACATCAATATAATTACTGAGAATTTTCGAAGTACTCATATTAGGTACCCTGCTAAGGCTTTCTCAGTGCATGAGTATCCTGAACTCAGTACTTTCTCTAGGGATCGTGTTTCATAATTTAAATCTCGCAGTGATTGTACCAACAGTTTTTATCTAGTTGTGGTGCTTTTGAAGATTATTATTTTATAACTCTTTGGTCTTACACTAAAATTGAAATTGTAATTTTTTTTCAGTTTTAGTTTTAGTTTTTTTTTTTGTATGCAATAAAAGATAATTATTATTTCTTAAAGCTATGATCATATAAAAGCAATAATCTGTTACAATTAACTCTATTTTAAAAGTCAACGACTGTAAACAAATTGTAGTAATGATTCATTTTATGCATTCGTGATATTTGTCTTATCTTGATTTTTTTAATATCATTATTACATATATCTTATATTTTTCTTGCATGACTATTTACCTACACATAGTAGTCATCATTTGCTAATAGCGACTTATTAACAGTTCTTATTCACATTTATTATAAAAGAAATGTTAATTGATTGATAAACTGAATGTTCATTAGTGATGATATTAAGTATAACGACAATTATTTTCAAAAAAAGTAGTATACTTATTCATAGATGCTGAAATAACTTATTAATAATGATTCTTTGTCAAGGAAATCTATACATTATATTAAGAATGTAAAGAATTACGAAAACGACAATAATATTGAATAACTTTCATTAAATGCAAAAATTGGGAATAGTACTTTTAGATTTAATGATTATAATGTTTGATAGACATTAAAGATGTTATTTTTCGATATAAATTCGTTGTCGTCTATGTCAAATATATAAATTTGAACAGTTTATTTTCTTTCAACCTTTCCATAAATCCAGTTCTATGATTGATTAGTAATATTATACTCTCATCTAGTCTGTAAGATCCTCTAAGAAACATCGAAGTATAATGGTAAAATAATAAAAAATTCATTTCAAAAGAAATAATTAAACAAATTATTCCTCAATTTGAATTTAAGATCAACAGATTATAATAATCATGCAAAATAAATCTTGTCAATTGAATCATTCATTATCTTCGAGATATCATTCATACATTGTAATCATATTTCGTTAAGTCAGCAGTTTTATACATTCATATCAATTAGATTATTTAATAAAGAATATTTTATTTTAATTTCAACATTTTCTAACACTATCATAAAAATATTCTCGAAAAATTATTATTTAAATAAAACACAAAAGTACATATGCATACAGAGTCACCTGTAGTACTTCTGAAAGAAAATATATTAATCATAAACATATTTTTTGCTTTGAAAAGAGAATGTTATGCATATACAAATAAATATGTATGATTTGAGTGATTTTCATTACCAAGATTTTTATCTTTCAATCGTATTTTATGATATAAAATAAAATCATGCATTAATGATTAATCATGTCATTTTTATTACCTATAATCGATATTACAAGACACATATCGTTTGAAGATAATAAATCACAAGTAATTTTTGTATAGATGTTTTTTCGTCTGAATATATTGATCAATATACATTAACAAATGTTAATGTTGAGTCAACAATATTTAATCATATTTGTTCTATTTTTCAATGATAACTTGGAAAAAAATCGATTACGATATGACGTTGATTTCTTCAACTAAAATTTTCTATATTGAATCATACAGTTTCTAAAATAAACATTACATTAAAACAACAACGTAGTTCAGTTGGAAAAAACCCCTGTACAAATGACAAATAAAACATGATATTCACCTTGATAGAAATAGTTATTTTGGTGTCCTTATATGATTGGTATGTCATTAGACATGATATTGTTTAACTATACATGATATTACCAAACTATACGTCATTTGTTTTTCCTTACAAATTCGTCACTATAGATCAAAGGTCTTCTTTCATACAAAACAATTTATTTTTAGTTGGCAATATTGGTCATATAAATATCGATTCTTTTTGAATTTCTATACTTAAATGATTCTATTCCATGACACATAGAGCTTAAAATAGAAAAGGAAAAATTAACGAAACATGATATTATTAAAAACACCGTCAATGCTCGGGTCTGACCCAGATATGACGTGTATGGCATTTTATTCGTGAGCCAGGCTTAATATACATTCTGTTTTCTTTTAAATGACGTTATTTTTTTTTCTTTCTATTCCTTCAATCGCAGAAAAATTACTTATGACACGATAATTTACATATACACGTATTTTTTCTTTCAATACAAACCTCGTACTAAAGAAAATAAAATGATTAGACGCAAATTCCCCGAAAAACATGCAAAAATAAAAATATTCGATGCGTCTTGGAAAATCGTATGTAAAGGGACCATTACGAAAGAAAGAAAAAAAAAAGAATATACCTGTTTTTTTTTTCTTTCGTTTCTCTTATATTGAAAGAAAAGTGACACAGAACATAAAGTATTTAAAGCACTGCAATAACTCATAATGATAAACATACATTTCCAACTCGTATTCTAGAGTCATCAAGATGTGGAGTCCTCTATTCATTTCTCAACCATCATGGGATTTAGGTGTGTATTTACCAAGTGAATTAGATTTTGAAGATACAATAGTTTATCAATCACCTGAAGTATTGTTGCGTTCATTTAATATTAACACGGCATCATCGGCTCATCGATCAGAATCAGAATTATTTGATCTAATCAATAATGATATGGAAGCTATATCGACGCTAACAGATAGTGATATATTATCAATAGATGACAATACCTTCGATACAATGGATGTTGCTGCTTATTTTTCGGGACAATGCACAGTAGCATCTCATATACCGATTGTAGACAATAAAAAAACATTACATGATAATAAACCATTACCTGTTTCATCAAATCGTGCATACAAAAGTCAAAAAAAAAATTATGTGTTATCATCTGAATTATGTATACCTTCAAAATTCATGAATATAAAAGAATTTCATGTATATGATAACACAACAGGACGATTTCGTCGACCATTATTACATGAATTTATTCGATTAATATTAGAAAATGATGAATATTCACATATTGCTGAATATATTGATCGTAAACGAGGTATTTTTAAATTATATCAACCAGATGTAGTTGCTGATTTATGGAAGCAAGTGAAAGGACGTAATAGTGATAACAGTAAGTTGATTGTGTTTTTTTTCTTTTTGTATAAATGAAAATTTAATTAATCTTTTTTTGTTTTTTTTTTATTAGATATGACCTATGATAAATTAGCAAGAGCTTTGCGTTATTATTATGGAAATGGTATAATGTATCCTAGTCCTGGACGTTTTACATTTCGATTTGGACCAAAATCTGGCTTTGGTATTTCATGGCGGCCAGCTGATTAATAAACATAAATTTTTATTTTTATTTTTGTTTTACTCTTGATGTCATTTTTTTGTTTTCGTATTTGATTTATGTTATAACAAGTCCGATATGTGTAATTTTCATTTCAATTAATTATGATTGAAAATTGTTTTATTTATTTATACATATGGATTTTTAATCTTATATTAGATATAATATTAAATTTAATATTTTTTTATCTATGAACAAAACTAATTTTATATATATATATATAGACAAGAAGATGAAATATGAATAGAAATTCAATATAGATATGTATTATTTTATACTAGAAAAACAATAAGTCTATACTTTATTATTATTATTCTTGACTTGTCGTAAATATGATTTTGTTTTTTTTGTTTTGATTTGGTAAAAGTACAAATTCATAGTTAGGTAATTCATAGATAATTTTATGTAAATAAAAAAATAAAACAAATTGCGATTAATATATAGATTTCACACTTACTATCGCCTATCTATCTTGTATGTCATCTAGACAAAATAAAAAAACAACGTTTATTGCCTTTCTACCTATTTGTTTTTTTACTTTTTCTCATTAACTACCATGAAGAGTCAGATAAGTACACAACTTGTATCTCGAAAGGCTCAAGGACGGACAAGAGTAATAGATTGTCAAAATAGATTTGATTTCGAGGAATGAGTATTAAAATAAATAGTGTTATATTCAAGTTTGATAATAGTTGTTTACGTCGCAAATCAACATATTCAAAACAAAATAACAATATAGGATTTATTAGTATATTACGATTAATTTTTTCTGATTTATTTAAATTTTTTTATGTTAATTATTAACTAGTTGATAAATGTTTACTGTCAAATTAAAATTCAAATTTTACAATTGATTAAATTTTGATTAGCATTATTAAATATACATTTTCTTTTTCAATAAATGTCGAATAAAATTTGTTGATCATTTTTGTATATGAATATAAAATTAATTTGAATATAAAAGTAAAATTTCGACGAAAATCTATATTAGTTTATTGATATTATAATGATGCGAGAAAATATATTTCTACATGTTCTTTCTGTTGTAAACTTTAAACTTAAGATTTGACATAGAAATAAAAGTGATCAAGGCCAATGATATTTTCTTATCAAATGATATTTACATAGTCTTATGTAGGAAAAAAAAGAAATAAATCTTTCAACGAAAATAGGGTACGTATAAAAAATAAAAACAATTCGTTGAAAAGAGGCTTTTGTGACATATCAAAATCATCTATTCTTCAAATCATAGAATTTAATAATTATTTTATTACCAATAGATTCATTGTATTTTTCTTTATGTAATGAGTACGAAAAAAACAAAATGAGTCTCGCAATATTTTGCTAAATATCTTTGACATTTCTTATTGTTTTGGATTAAACTTTTTTTCTTCAAAAAAATACTGTATGAAAATGTCTACAAAAACTATAAGAAGCCATTGATTAAGAAAATACAGAAATGAAAAATTTATTCGACAAATACTATGATTGTTCTTGCTGCAATAACTGTTGGTTAATTGCGGTTTTTATGCTTAGTTTTTTATTACATCTCACTACATCAATATTTTTTAACTCTTAGAAGAATGTTAAATCTCAGTCGAAACCACATCTCTACACTATAGTGAGCGTATTCAAACCATATCGCCTGTTTTCGCATAGTTTTCGAGTTTGATTATTTATTAAAGATAGTATCTAAAAATAGTCAGCACTTCTTTATCTTACTCACATCTACACACTGATTGGTATGATTTACAGATACAGTAATGTGTGAGGTGAAAGCCACTGTGATTAAAGTGAAGGAGAACCAAATAGTCATTAGTTAGAAGACTTAACCAATAGAAAAAAGGGCAGTGTCGTAAGAAAAATGAAAGCAAACTTGATTAAAAAAATCTTGTTAACAGTTCCTGTGGAACTAAAGTGTATAACTTACATGTATTCTTTAGCCACATTATTCTAACATAAAATACATCAAGTTTATAAGAATAATCAATCGTCAGCGAAACGATATGCCTTATTTTTTTCTTATTTACTGGCCCTCTATTTTTTGTTTGCCTTCTTACGATTCGCTTGTTGGTTTATTAAACTAACCTAAAGAATGTACTGAGTTAAGGGTACCTGGAAAAGTACTCTGCTACTAGTATGTCACATGAACTTTTGGAGACGAAAGTACTTAGAAGTACTCAAGGGGAAAACAGTGGACCTCAAGACTTCAAATTTTCACACGACTTCAAAAGACCTCAGAAGACTTCAAATGACCTCAAGAGACTTCAAAAGATTTCCAAAGACTTCAAGAGACTTTATGGATTTCACAAGACTTCATAAGACTTCAAGGTTCCATGAATATCAAGAAACCTTAGAAATTACATGAAATTTCTATAACATACAAAAAACAACTCTATCATATAGAGATTACAAAAGAATTTCTTGTTTCTTAGATTTCTTTTTCGCAGTACATCTATAATTGCAATTTTTTAAGATGATGCAAATAATGTTGAAAAGATGATTCTACACATCAGAGATATTTTAAACATTTCAGAGTGTACATATTTTTTTCCAACATTTTCTCTTATCTTTTTTCTGATTCAAACGATTATATTTTCTTTTGTTTAATAAAACCAATGAATATATAACACCAATAGCTCAAAATTTTGTACAAAAAAGCCTGTCATGGATAGATATGAACAGTAAATAATAAATCTAAGTTTATACTAAGGAAACGACTTGTTGATTATTGACGAACTAACCTAGCCGTTTATCGGCTGATAAACTATCACGAGTGATACAAACAAATAAAAGAGATTAAAACTTTGCATAATATTAATATTAGCTTGACGGAACATTTCACTATAGAATAAACAACTTTATTCAAAACTATTCAAATACTTAATATTTTGTTGAGTTCAAACGAGCTCGGAATGTTTTTCTGCAGTTTCACTAAACAATCAAAGTTCAAATTTCTGTTAAAAGAAGACCATCGAAAACAAGACAGCTTCCTTGGTTGCTTTGTGAATTTTTTGCGAACTAAACGTATTCCAAAAGTTTCAGATTTTATGAAACTTTGCGAGACTTCTAAAGATTTCAGGACTTCATCGGACTTTATGAGCGAAGTCTTCGCTGTTTCACTCTAGGAAGTACCTTTAGGTACTTATGTGGTATTCTGCTACAAAATGTTTAGTAAATGCGTACTTAAAGGTACTGATCAGATACACTGTTGGAAAAATTTCACTATGTTTGGGATCGAATCTGATCTTTGACTTTTTTCATGTTGAATTGTTCTAGTATAATATTTCTCGAAAGTATAAATCTGATAATTTATTATCATATTTTTCTCTATATAAAGAAAATCGATAATTTCACTTCTTTCGGGATTAATATTAAAAAATTAATATTGGAATAAAAATAATACTGTAATTTTGAAGTATTCAAATTATATAAAATGAAAAAATAGAATTAATATAATCTCGGAAATACAAAATATATTTATTACATAAATAAAAAAATTACACCTATGGCAATACAAGTTTGAAAAAATTTAACAATAAAGGCAAAATAAAATATTTATAACATGTATTTAAGAAAAAATGACTTATTATCATAAAACACTATTGTAACCATGCTGCATTTCAGGATAATGGAAACAAGTCATTGTTAATTATCAAACATTATATAAATATGTAGTAAACCGTCTTAATGATTACATTGTACAAGCTATCTGTAAGTATTCGCATTGTACTGTAGTTTCTTTTAGTATGGTATACGGATCATTTGGTAACATTTGAGCTAGGGATGCACCAGTCCCAGTCCTGACTGGTAAACTGGGTCCCTGTCGGACTGGGTGTCCAGTTCGACTGGGTACTGAGTCCTTTGATCTTTAGTCCATTAGTCGAGTAGTACTTCCTTCTTTTTTAGTATATTGTCATACAGTGATTCTTAGGCTGTTGAAGTACTGATATAAACTATAACACTGAATCCATTGGCTAATTATATATATCTATATATCAATCGTTATAATTTAGAATACTATAAATAAATTTCATGTCTTCAGCGTGTGGGTGTGGCTAGGGTGTAGGTGTGTGGGTGTGGGTGTTGTTTGGATGGATGTGGGAGTGGATGTTGTTTGGATGTGGGAATGGTTAGAATGACAATAACGACACCCATACCAACATCAAACTCACGCCCACACCCTTAGAAAAGAGGGAAGTACTGATTGATTAGCGGAATAAACGTCAAATGACTAAGTACCCAGTCGAACTGGGTATCCAGTTACTGGCACTGGTACACCCCTATTAATTTAATTTGAGCATTACATTTAAAGCTTAGTTTTAGATAATGTACCGAGGCTTCGAATGGGATGGAAAAATTCCATTTCACTGGAGAAGATGGGATGGGATTTCCCCATCCCATGCAAAGGAATGGAAGGCAATTATCGTCCCACGAGATTTCTTATTTTCTCATGAAAAAATGAAAGGTTTCGTTTGATGAAATATAGTCTCTAGGTAATCTATAAGTACGATGAGTAATAGGAATTTTTATGCTCTCGTCGTTGACTTCTTCTATCTGTGGAAAGTTTCGTTTCCAATAGGTAGCCTATGAAGTTTGCTACATAACGTAGTTTTTTTATGTTTTGAAATTTTTATGCATTGTCTAGTTGTTTTAATCGATCTACAGATAGTCATGTTAGTGACCAATAGGGGATAAAAGGTTAAACAATGAGAAGTAACACTGATTTTAGTGAAGTACTATATGCTTCAAAGTCGTTTTAAGCGTTGAATACTCTTCTGTCATAATTGTTAACTATTAGGATAAAATTCTATGGTCATAGGGAAACTTTTACCATCTTCGTTTCAACTTAACACATTTGGCACGATTTGATTTTATTAGAGAGCAGCTCTACAGATTCATTTTCGTGTGCATTCGTCTTTCGACAAATGTACACCTTGACTTTTTCATTCTGTACTGACCTGTTGTTTTCTCTTTTCTGTTTATAACATCACACGAAGCAGAGTGACCATTCTGCAGTTTCGAAAAAGTCTTGTGAGATCTTTACTGCATGGCATGCCATTCGAAAAGCTGAAATCTAATTTGAAACAAAAATCAGCAACTCATTCGAAGCGCAAACTCGCTGATCGCAAGCTCGAAAGAAAGAAAGGATCTGCGCGCAATGTCGGCAGACGCTGTACTGGCTGTTATGCGAAGGAAAGGGCGCACGTGTTAATTATAGGCATAGTTTATTATGAGTTTTACTTAGAGAATAGAAAGGAATATATAGCAAACCATGATGGATTCTATTGAACCCTAACAACAACAGAATTTACTAGGGTCCACAAAAATATGAAGCAATCAACCAAATTGCACTAGCGTATGATCTTCCGTGATCTTTAGCAATACGAAAAAAATTAACTCATCAAAAGCTAAGAGTTTATGAATGGAAAATACACTGAAAATGTAGTATGATTCCTTCGTAATACTTAAGATGTTAGGTTGAAACCTTTTAAGAGAAATAGTGGAACCTGAAACCTACCAGAGCTCAGTAAATTTAAATGGATCTCAACGAATTCCGATGAATTTACTATCATATTCGTTGAAGTTCGACAAGATCGTCATACCCTAGATCATATAACACAGCGAATCCGAATATTTTCAAAATTGTTTTTGAATCTTATAGTTTTCACGAATAATCTTGTATTATTATGTGGTATTTTCTTGAAAGAAGATTATAAAGTTCAGAAAATCAACATTATTCGACAAAACTACAGCAAAAAACAGTATTTTGAAGAAAAAACGAAATTAGGGTCACTGCGAAGGCTCCCTAGACCCACTAGTTTATTTTTGAAGAAACAAGTAGGATTTATATGAAAGGATAAGATTTGAAATGTGAAGTTAACTAACCTAAACGAGAACCGATAGAAGGAAATTGAGATGATAGGCAGGGCTGCCGGCGCTGGAGTACAATATATTGACAGTGGAATTAGCTTCGATAAGTTGTATGACAGAGCTGGCAGTCTTTATGATAGAAGAAGAAGAAAGTCATGCACTCTAAGTTAAAATGTGTCGCATGTGTCGTGGTTTACGACACAATGCACGACACATTTCGTACGACACATGCGACACATTTTTTATTGGTTGTTCTGAAAACACATACTATGAATTTTTTTCAATTTAATTCCAAATATAATTATTTCTGTTCGGAAAACTCAAGCAGGTTACATCTTGAGAGCTTTCCAGCCTCGAGTCGGTCCGATCTCTGTCAGACCGGTTCAGGATAGTCGTCTCTCGAATATTGATTGAGAGTGACATTTTCTCGACTAATACATTATCGAGCAATGATCTAAAAAATATAATTGTGGAAATATTTATCTTTCTTAGCTTCAACCGTGTTGCTTATATATGGCTGTGCGTGCATAACAAAAACGGTAAATGAATAGTGAACAAACAGAACGCGACAAATTCATATACAACACATTCTAAGCACGATACATTGTTATGCTGGGATGCACGGCACAATAACTCACGACATATAAATGCGACACATTTTATGTTGGAGTGTGGCAATTAATTCAAGGCCTGAAAAAAGTCTTACACTGAGCGATAGTGATATAGGCAGTCATAGGTCATGGACCATTGCCCACCGATAAAAAAGCTATTGTTCACAAATTTCTTATGATGATGACAATTACTCAATGATTCAATAGTAATTTTCCATAGATTTTGTCTGAGATGGTAATAACTGCCCACACCTTGAAATAATTTGGCTGGAAAATTGTTCATCACTCAAAAATTCCTGCTACGCCACGGCTGGATGAACATGTAACTTTTCTTTTGCTCAGAAGTGTTTGTATATCACTTAGAAAGTCACTTTTAAGAAAGTAAGGCATATTTGAAAAAAAAGCATTTTTCAACGAAAAATATCTGAGGAAGTCCTGGTTCACGTTTTTTTCAAGACCGTGTCTTGTACCATACATCATCATATATAGTTTCGCATGCTAATTTCGAATATACCATTCATTTTCAATAGAAATATTTTCGAGTCTGAAAAACAAAGAAGTTAGGCGGAAAAACCTGCTGTATGATTCAGAAACTTTTATGCTAATTGTGGTGATGGAAAATGCAGAATAGAAGATTCTGGCATAGTCTAAGCAGATTTGGATTGGCACTAAGAGGTGTGCACGTTCGTTTTATTGAACTTAGCCATTACAAAAATTCGTAGTTTAGAAAAAACTTTTATTTTTTTTTCTCAAAAATTACATATTGACATTAAAAGATTTCTTCAATGGTTGATATCAAACGATATGCAGATTCACAATATCTATTAGACGTGCGTACAAGTTGGCTAAATTTGATCAAAAAATGATATTCTCATGAATACTAATATTTTCAGACTAATTTTTGAATTTCCTAATAGAATTTTTTGAGCTACTTAGATAGAGCATATCTTAAAGTATATTTATCACAATTTAAATCAATGAAAGGGTGACTCGAATTTTTCCATCTCATGTTCGCCCAGATGTACATTGTGAGAGCTCAGCAATGTACATATGAAATCAATCGATTTAATGTTAAAGTTGATTAATTTATTCTTTAACTAGCACTTTCATGTAAATTTATTTTCGCTTTGATTGATCTTTGGCTAGCTAAACAAAACAAAAAAAAAGAGTCCATTCTTTTATTGTTTTGGCTAATCGAATGTCAACAGATATGTATACAAAAAAGAACCGTAAGAGCTTAGAGTGTAGTCGAACAGTCGAAAGTAAAAAACATAATCTCATACAAAGCATTTTTATTGTCAATAAAAAAAGAAAAAAAAAATCTTTGACCATGCCTTATTACTTTAAACATTAAAGTAGACCGAAGGCATGCATTATGCTTTTCTTTTAATGATCGAATGAAAAAAGAAAATTCAAGTGGAATTCTATGTTGTATGTGCTTCATCTATTTATTTTTGCCAATGTATTTGCATAAGCTCTGTTATTTATAAAAGCAAACAGATTTTTCTTTCGTTAAATAGAAATCAGAGAATTGTTTTTGGACGCCAGTACAATAATTCAAACAAAAATTATTACGATTCATACACGATCATGGCTCTTTCAGCTACTCAAATGAGCCTCTGTTTTCAGTCCTATTGGTATATGTGGTATGTATAAATGATCGAAAAATAAACATATTCAATATTTGAATCATTTTCAGGTTAACAAGTGCTTTATCAGGATTACTTTTTATGGGTATTGATATTGGTAAAATGAATATTTTTTATTTAAAGAAATTGAAAAGAATTATTGAATAAAATAGGTATTGCTGCATTTTTTATGGCAAAATTTCGTAAGAGAAAACCATCGAATTATAAACGTCCACCAACTGTTGATAATCGACCGCTCAGTCCAACTGAAATTAAAACTTTCGATGATCCTGAGAGAAATACTGCTAGTAGAAGATCTAGAATACGTGGATCTTCAGCTAAATCAGGTATAAATAAATTATGTATGAAATATATTCTATTCTTTATATAGATAATTCTGGTATAATGGACGGTAGTAATGATTTTGCTCATGCAACATGTGAAATGATTAATTTATTTCGTCAACAATATGATGTTCCATCAGTAGAGTTAGATGATCAATTATCTGAAATTGCGCAAGATTGGGCAAATCAAATGGCTGAAACTGGTAAATTAGAACATAGACCACTTGAATCTCGTAATTTTGCAAGACAATCACTTGGTGAAAATTATCTAGCACAATATCAAACTGAATTAACAGGTTAATTTTTTGTTTTGATTGGAAAAAAAAAGAAAAAAAAACCATATATTTAAATGTTCTGTTTTGTTTTCCTTTTTAGCTAATAAAATGGTACGAAAATGGATGAAAGAAGGACGTAGATATAGATTTGGTTATGATGGACGTCGTGATACCAGTAATTTTACGCAATTAGTTTGGCAAGGAACACGACAAATTGGTGTTGGTCGAGCTCGATCTGCTGATGGAAATTGGTGGTATGGCGTTGTTGTATTTGATCCACCTGGTAACATTCCAAATCAATATGCGGAAAATGTAAAATTTCCCACTGCATAAAATTTGATTGACGATCAAAGACAATTTTTTTTTCTGTGTTTCTTCAAATGATAGAAACAAAAAAAAAATGGACAAATTATTTTTTACTACCGTTGAATTTGTAATTTATTTGAATCATCGATTAATAAATATCATTTATTTACATTTTACAAAATAATATATAGAACAAATATTAATTTCAGCATGATTTGTATAGTGACGTGTTCAAAAGATTGTGAATGATAGGACAGTGTCCTACCCGAGTGAAGGTATTCATGCTAGAAAATGCTGTAAGAACTCATGGGTACTCCTGCTAAAATTTGAGTGTGACACTTCTACATATATCTTGAGTAATTCTTATGTAATCTAAGTGTACTCTAACGCTTTATGTAAAATACTCACAAGCCTATATTCTGTTTAGTATTATCTTGTTACATCGATTTTATATATATTAAATTAAATGACTAAAAATACAGACATACATAAATATATGAACTACAGTTAACACTTTATCTTTATACTTTTTTTTGAAAAACAAATGATAGTACTAGAGAAATCTTCATCGTTAGAGAAGAAAGTGAAATATTTCTTTATTTTTCATTATATAAACTAATACGATTTTATTTATTTGTACAAAAGATCAAAAGAAAAGAATAAAATTTTAAAAAACAAGAAAATTTATGTTTATTAAATTATATAATTAACAAGGCATTATACTACTGCATGATCACTAATTTCGTATTATGAGCAATCATCTCTATCTTACAATCCCCATATCTGTTGCATATTTTTTTTTTAATAATAAATTTTCATGTTTTTTAAAACTTTATTCTTTTCTTTGATGTTTTAAAAATAAATAAAATTTTATTTTTATGATGTCAAAATAAAAAAAAATGTCTAACTTTCTCTACTAACAATGAAAATTTCTTTATCTCCATCTCATCAAATAAGAGAGCACAGTAAAACAAAGAAAAAGAAAAATTATTCAGTGAAACCGACAAGTCTGATTACAAATAAGCATACAATATTGATTACTACAGAAAAAAAATCACATAGACATTTTAAATTCGTAGTCTTTTAATTATTTATAAAAACTAACATAAAAAAATATAATTATTTGTTTATAATATTATTTAGATGTCTTCATAATTTTAAATCGTAATCGATTTGTAACAAGAATTGTTAGTTTCTTTGGTTTCATTATATTTTACAGTTTATCTGAAAACCTATATTTTAATACAGAATTGTTTCATATAAGTTTAGAAAATTAAATTTGAATGAATTTCTATTAACACATTTGAACAATTTAATAATCAATTTTTCATAAAAAATTTCCTAAGGAGTCGCTTAAAAGTTCATCAAGAAACTACAAGAGGTATTCCTTGTTGTTCGATGAGTCTTTTTTCCATAAGCGAATGATTCATTCAACAGTACATTCATAAACATCTAATACAGAATCGGAACTAGACGATCGGGAAGACTAGAGTATAGAAGACGAAACTCTGGTCGAACTTATTGAATCACATCGATAAGATTGACTCTCAGCTAGAGTCCGACAGTTCCAACAAAACTGGAATCGAGGACCAAAACTCAAACCATTTTTTTCAGTTTCAGGTAATTGGAACCGTAACCGGAGCTGTTCGAACCGAAACATTTTAATAACAACTAGTATCAGCTATATTTTTTATTGTTCTATGATTTATACACTAACGAAATCTTCATTCATTTACTACATTGAATCTTGCTTGTAACGCAAAGTACTAAACAAATAACTTATTCACTTGTACTTGAACTTCCAATGGACATCCATTTATTATTTTTGCACTGATTTTTTTTTGAGATTTTTCGTGCTGATATTATTAGTATATGAAAACTCATCAAGAACGATGTATTGATATATAAATATCAGTAATTAAGAAGTTCAAAAAAACTTGCAGATGATATTAAGTTTTATTATGATAATCATGAAAACGATGATATCACTTTAGTTTTGAGCACTTTTATATATTAAAAAGTTTGATCTAACTATTTCATATTAAAACCGCGGTTTCGGTTCCGGGTACTTTTTGAAACCATTGGGCTCTACTTTCAATAATAGAGGACGAATTATTCAGAGATATTTTATCAGCAATTAACAAGAAAAAAATCACATCACTTGTTTACTATTACAATAAATCGAGCTCCATTCTTTCTTGTTCTGTTGGTGTATCATCATTTTCTGTTGTATTGCATCATAATTATTACAGTTCCTAACCACCTACAGAAGTTTTATTTCTCACATGTTTTTGTTGAAAAGACAAGTTCGAGATCTATATCAAAGCGGTTGTATTGTTTTTAGCAGTAGAATAGTTTTACATAAAATTTGTTTGTTTCATGAGATGATCCTCAAAAACGTTTCCATCCCAGGCGAAGTCCTGATATGTACTAATGAATCGAATGATAGTATTTCGAGTAGCAGTAGGCCTATCCATGTCATCAATTTTTTATCAAAACCAACAGTTGACCATAGTTCATAAAAGAATGGCGATTTCAATGATTTACTTCTTTTTCATTAATTTTTTTTTGTTACTTTTCTATTAAATTAATATTTTTTTGTCTTGAAGAGATCGATAGCTACTCAAAAAAGTCGATTTTAATATGTCACAGTATATTTTGTCAGTCAGATGACGGCATGCCTTTTCCCAATTGACTAAGTCTTCTAACTAATGACCATTTTTTTGAGGCGCCATCTTTAATGAATAATCAAACTCGAAAGCATCCGACGTGGCTGTTATAGGCGGCTTGAATGCTCTCACGATAGCAGAGATGTCCACGGCGACGGCGACAGATTTTTTTTCTTGAGGACGATGCAAAAATGCATGAATTTGAACAAAATTTCAGTGTCTACAGATGCAACACTCTTAGATTCAACAAATCTGATCGGTTAGTGACAATAGTTCTAGTCCAAAGCAATCTCCATCGTGAAATTCAAAGTATTTTTCTAACAGTCACCGTAGTAACGGCAGCGCCATGATAAGTTTTTCCGTTAATCACCATGGCAAGTTTTCAGCCACGATGGTCATCTCTGCATCATAGTATAAAGACGTGACTTTGACTAAAATCTAACATTTTTCTAAGTTTTAAAAAATTCTCAAACAGTGAGATGTAACAAAAACTCAAGCAAAAGAACTACGGCTAACCAACAGTTTTCTAGCGGTTTGCATGACATAGGTACTTATGACTAGAATGTCCTGAAAATTTCAGCAAGAGAAGTGTTTTTTGTACCAAATATTTCATTTTTCAAAAAAAAACATAAGACTCGCATCTTTCATGGAATATAAGTGATTTTTTGTTGGAAATTCAATATCTTGAGAAGAAAACATTCTTTAGTGCTGAAACTTTCAGAGTATTCTAGTTACAAATAGTGCTATCAATGGGTCGAATTTCATATTTGAAATACTGTCGTTCAATTTTTTAGAATATAATTTGTCATAAGCTGAAATTGCAGTAACATGCCTGTAACTGTGGAGATTAGAGCCCGTCGAGTTGCTTCAACACTCAGTCGTACACGGATCTAAGAATTTTGAACCCAACGAGAATTGGTCGTCTGAGTAATGTGTAGAGCAGTGTCCGACACGGGTCACTTTTTTTGTGACCCGACCCGACCCAAGCCGAGCATATCGTCACCCGACCCGACCCGACCCGAGGTGAGGGATAGTTTTTGGCCAATAAAAGTGAGTTTTTTTCAGACATTGACAATCTTCTCAGTAAATCGATACATATTCTATAGGTATTCGAAATAAAGAAATGATTATCTCGTCTAAAATTACTGCTTTTCTTATGTGAAGTTCGGAATTCGTAAAACTTTTGTGACCCGACCCGTGTCGGACACTGGTGTAGAGTGCGTTGGTCACCGGACACCAAAAACTCGGTAGAAAGTATCTCGTATTTTTGAGGCAACTAGTCAATTCCGATTAGAAACTTTCACTGAGAGTATCGCAGTACGACTCAATGAGATCCGTGTATGAAAATTTTGGGCAAGACCAGTTCTAGTGGAAAGAAGATCTAAAAGCACTTAATCTGAAGTCAAAAACGATTTATTAAATTTTTAAACAATATTTGTATTCATCTTATTTATAGAATAGTAGAGTTTCATTACATGATATCAAGTAAACATATAAAAAATAACAATAAAAAAGCAATAGGAATAGTACAGAAAAAAGATTAAGCCAAATCTAAAATCAATACAATATTTAAAATAAATAAAATGATAAAGGTCATTCATACTTATTGACTATGGAATAGAATATACGTAAGATTTTAGTGCAAATTTTTCTATACAAGTCTATATATAAACCATTCTGTTTTCAAAAGTCACCATAATACTTATAGTCACCATTTTAATGTAAATAACATTGTATCATTTTAAATACATGTATCTTCACAGAAGATTTGTGCATATATCGGCTTGTCCAAGCGTAACGCGATGACGTTTTGTCCACAGTTTTATTAACTTTTCTCAACAATGAGGTTGTCTAGAAGGCTCGTGCTTTCGGTGGAAGATGTGCCTCAGTCTTCCCTTAAACCTCTGAAAATATGAACTCATTTGAACAAGCCGTTTGAAAATTATAGCAGAAATATGTGACGTAACGCGATGATGAACAAGGGACAAAAAATTGAGGGTGACATGGTTGTTCTTTATTTTTCTGCGGATGTATACTACATTAAAAGAAATGTCCCATAGACGGTATGTAGCTAAGAGTTTGAGGTATCCAACAGATTAAAAAAATTTCCAAACAGGTCCCTTGTTTTGAAGAGTGATCAGTTTCATTAACGTAACGCGATGACGATGACTTTTGTAATAGTTTTTTTTATGCTTCATTTTGTCATATATACACCTCTGTAAAGACCAGATGTTATATATATTCTAAGGATTAAAGTATGCACATGTTAAATGCTGTGTTTATCAATCCTTTTAATACAAAAAAAATTGTAAAAAAAATCATCTAGTTTCCCTAATATGTATAGCAATGCCTGTGTAA